ATCAAGAAGGTCGATTTGGGCCGAAGAAGCATCCAGCAATGGTGAGGTTTTTTTCAGATTTTTTCGCAATATTTGTTGGACGACGCCTCGCTTGCTATTTTTAGCTCGGTTTCTGGAGGCAGAGATGGGTCGTGCTCACATTTTTATAACCCCATGGCGTACCCTGATACCAGATGAGCCTAAAGGGGGGTCATGAGGATTCTAAATAGTGCTATGAGTGCGCTTAGGCAGCGATCAGACTTCACGACGGCAGCGTTTTGGTCGCGCGTTTGAAGCTCTCGACCGCGCATGCTTTCCACTGCTCCGATCGACGAAAGCCTGTGCGTTCGACGCAGTGAAAGCATGCGCAATCGACGCTCGCGAAGTCTGAACGCTGCCTTTCGGTTAGAAGGATTGTATTAGTAAAACTGATTTTTGCATTCCTCGGTAGAATCTGTTCTGGTCAATGCTTGCAGTGTGGGTCCCAAAGAGAGTTTCGGGCACAGGTCCGCTTCTGGGTTAGCATTTGAAGGACTTCTCGTGCAAAACTGGGATTATCGTAAGATGAACTTTTGCCTTAGCCTACTGGTAGAATTTGTTCTAGGGTGGGAAAACAGATGACGGGTCCACTAACCTCTCAGTCAGATGGCGGTAGGCTCAATACTGCAAGGGCGTTTTTGAAATACCCCTACCGAAGCAGAATCGCATTGTTTGATAGCTGTTATAACCCATTATTTTTTTCAGCAGTATCGCGGCGCGCTAACATCTGAGAGTTTTCGACAAGCGACCGAGTTCTATAGTGAAAACCCTTATGGTTGGTTAAGCTGCGTTTTTTTTCGTTTGGAAAACCTATTGTATTTTTCAAGATTCAGGTGCAACACCACATCCATTTCCTCCCGGTTCGCCGGTAATAGTGAAGCCTCGCTCGACGAGTCGTGACAAAGACAAGCAACGGCGGAAGAGTCTGGGCGGGTAAGTAGGGTTACCATTAATGACTCAGTCAGACAGTAACGGGAATTTCCCTGTCACGCGTTATCCCTTCACGACACATAAAAAATGACGCCATCGTCGAAAACGAACGAAAGCAGTCCACTAACCAGGGAGGTCGTTCAGGATATGGCGCGCTTTTTGAAAACGGTTTTTTGCATTGTGTAGGGGCACGTTCATGGACTACCAAACTGACGTTCATTTTTCCTAAATGGCTCTTTGAATACCAAAAAAGAGTGAAGAAGAAATGTAAGGAAACGGGCTGGTTTATTGAGCTTCATGGGTCCAAATCACTTTCACTTTGAGCAAGTGGCTAGCCTAGTGGGTCCGCTTATAAGGCACCTACAGGTCGAGGAGGAAAGTAGTCGCGAAATGGGGTCGTTATTTGCGCACGGATTGAACATTGGCGAACGCTCTGTGCGGCTTGTCCGGGATGCGTTTCCTTCGAATGACTGGGAGCGCTGTTCAGCTACAAGATCGGGCTTGGTTTAGTGGACTAGCGATGAGAGGAGTTCCTCAATCGCCATGGTAAGGGTGGGTGTTGACTGGTTCGACTCCCCTCGGCGTGCCAGTTTTTGCATTTTTTTAGTTTCGCTACCCTCGCCTCCATAAATGTCTCTGCATGAGGATAACATGGATATTTGCCATTTATGTGGCAAATTCTTACCTGTAGGATCCGCGACTCGGTATAACACTATTAACACTATTAACCAATTTCTCCACAGATTAGGCAAGGCTGCGGCAGAAAAGATGATATTTCACTGTAAGTAGTGATGAGATTATCAATTTGGTACTTAAATTTTAGCTGTGGTGCCATTTGACTCCGATTTGCATCCACATCACTCTCCTACGGAATTCACTATGGAAATCCATACAAGGGACGTTTCGCGCTATCCTGCCGTCAGATTGCGTCAGCGCCAGAAATAAGTGTCAGAATCGTGTTCAGGACCATCAATAACCCCTATAGACGAAGAATCGCTCAAAAAAATTTTTTCGACCTTTTTGGGTGTGTGTATTGGATTGTGTACACCGAGCCTCTCCACTGAAATCCTACTTTGCCTGCTATTTAAACCTTCCCATTTACTGATTAGTAAACATAAAACTGACAACAAGATGCACCACTGGGAAAAGAAAAATCCAGACATCCCTCCAGGTGCATTTGGAATTTTGGAAACTTAAACGACTCTGTTCTGCGGCTGGAGGAGAATGACACCTTCGTCGGTGAGCACCCGCTAGGGGTCGACAAGGCCACGAATCGGTTGTTCACGTATTCCACATGCAATCTGACTTATAATCTGCGCGAAGGACGCTTTGGTGGCAACGAATTCGCGAGTGGTGCGGGGCTGCTCGGCCGGCGCGCTACGTCATCTTTACGTCACCGCCCTTGGCAAGGTGTAGGGACTTCGGTCATAATCGTCGACCAAATGGGCCGCCTTAACCAAAGACGGTCGGAAAAATTTTTTTGAGCGATTCTTCGTCTATAGGGGTTATTGATGGTCCTGAACACGATTCTGACACTTATTTCTGGCGCTGACGCAATCTGACGGCAGGATAGCGCGAAACGTCCCTTGTATGGATTTCCATAGTGAATTCCGTAGGAGAGTGATGTGGATGCAAATCGGAGTCAAATGGCACCACAGCTAAAATTAAGTACCAAATTGATAATCTCATCACTTACTTACACGTAAAAATCAGTTTTCGGCAGCAGCCTTGCCTAATTGTAGGAGAAAATTGTAATAGTGTTATAATACCGACTCGCGGATCCTACAGGTAAGAATTTGCCCATAAATGGCAAATATCCATGTTATCCTCATGCAGAGACATTTATGGAGGCGAGGGTAGCAAAACTAAAAAAATGCAAAAATTGGCACGCCGAGGGGAGTCGAACCATCAACACCCACCCTAACGTTCCGATTGAGAATCCTCCCAACGCTAACTATCCACTAGGCCATCCGATCGTTGTAGCTGAACACCGCTCCCATCATTGAAGAAACCATCCCGACAAGCCGCCCAGAGGCGTTCGCTGTCAATCACGTGCCGCAAATAAGACCCCATTCGCGACTACTTTCCTCCTCGATACCTATAGTGCCTTTATAAGGACCCACTACTCAGCCACTGGTCAAAGTTGGAAGTGATTTGGAGCCCATAGAAGCTCAAAACCAGCCCGTTTCCTTACATTTCTTCTTCACTCCTTTTTTGGTATTCAAAGAGCCATTTAGGAAAAATGAACGTCAGTTTGGTAGTCCATGAACGTGCCCCTACACAATGCAAAAAACCGTTTTCAAAAAGCGCGCCATATCCTGAACGACCTCCCTGGTTAGAGAACGCTCCAAGAACTAGATATTTTTCTCTTCACCTCCACCTTAGGTTAACCTTTGGCCATATTGTCACTGCTGAGGCTATATTGAGGTGGGGTTGGCAGATCAAAGGTGGTGGGCACGATGACTGGGGTAGTGCTTACGGCCAACGCCATTGGTGGGAGAGCTGCGAAAAGGGCGTTTGACCACCTCTCAATCTGACTTCCCCAAATGACGTTGGCAGTAACCGCGCCTGCCCTCAGCCTGCCCAATGCCTTTAAGGACACAGTGAAAATTCCACAAAGAAAATGACAATGTCCCACCTTCTTTTCTCGTCCTCTTCTCGTTGACGCTGAGCCTCTTCCAATCTCATATCGGCTCTTTGCGTCGTGTTCTCATCACGACTCTTTCCACCAAGACCAAGGAACGATTTCATGGCTGTCAAACTAGAATATAAACTTTTTAGTAGGAACAGAATTACAGTTACATAGGAAGAGAAAACAAAAAGCAAAAAAAAACAAAAAAGAAGAATAAAAAAATTTAGGTATGGAACAGTAATTACAGTTATTAACAGAATTACATTACAATTGACAGTATAATGGATGTCACTGTTTGGAAACCATTGCAATAATAGCGCCCCCACATCTGATCCATCTTCAGTAATGAATCAGATTTATAGCAACAAAACCGCAACATACACTTTTCTTAAAAACATCTCTTAACGGCACATTTCACGCTCGCACTATCGGCTAAAGAGGATGCGTCCCTCCCCTTTACCGTTAGGAGAATTGACACACCATTGAGAACGGCTCAATAGTCGAGTTTCTCGGTTAACGTGGAATGCACCTTTGAGGTC